CCCGGGCCCAAGGAGGAGTGATGGCGAGCGGATTCATCGAGGGAGGGCGGGCCGGCCCGAGGAGAAGGGATGGAGTGAGCATGATGCGGCCGGGCGGGGGGCCGGGTTGGGGAGGAAGCAGTGAGCGGATCACCGCGTAAGAGGCCCCGGAGGGCAGGCGGAACGACGAGAGGGCGCAGCGAGCTGCCCGGAGGAGTGGCGAGTGGCGAGGGCACGGATGCCCGGAGGGGTGGCGAGCGGATCGCCGAAGAAAGGAGCTAGTGGTCCCCATTGGGCAACACCGTGAACGACGTGGTGTGCACCAACCAGCGGGCAAAAAACGAAAGCTCGAGGAGCGCGAGCTCCCGAAGGGCGAGGGGACGAGGATCCTGGGCTGCGAGCCCTTAACCTATATACTACTAGAGACAAAGCAGATGTAAAGCGGCGAGGGGGTGGCACGAGTTACGCTGTCATAGACCCTGGACAATAATCATTGTCCAAAACAACTCCGGCAGACTCGCCGGACTCAACAGTCTCGATATTTTGAGCAAGGTCCACCGTGATTTTGGGCCAATTCGGTTGTGCCATTCAATATTCCTTCGGCTCGGGAGCAACCGTCACCCAGCCTTGCCCGGGTGGGTTGGTTAAGCGCTTCATCTTGTGCCACGAGCCATGTTATGACAGGGAAACGGCTCGACGTGTGGACCCCGAGTAATTCGCACCTCCAGCCAACGCGGCTCGTTCAAGTTTGTTCAGGCCTGAAGCTGACTAGGGCGTGCGGCGGGTTGACAAGTTCCTCGGGAGAGAAGTGGGGCAAGGGACGAACGGCAAACCGGAAGCCCTCCACGCGATATGCCACCCCTGTGGGCAGGCACCTCCGTGACGAGCGGGAACAGCTGTAAGCCGACAGGGGATGCGTATGCGATGATAAGCGCCTGAGCGCACGGATTCCGATATCGCGACTCATCCCACCCAACAGATCGTCGAGAATGCATGATACCATGTAGAATTAATGTGGCGGACGAGAACAGGGCAACCCGATCTCTGATTGAAGACACCTCCCCAGTTCTTCTGTTATTCGAGGTTTTATTGACCTTGAGCGCCGAGGTTACTTTCATCCGCTGATAATATCTTTCGGTGCAGGTGTGCGCCTGGTCAACTTGAGTGTCCCGCTCGACGAGAAGTACTTCGCAGCCTGAGTAAGGACGTGCGCGGTGTAAGGACCTTTAGGTAAGTTTTTTCATGACCTGTCATCACGGATCGCGAGCGACGCTCTGAGCCATGGTTCTCACGACGTACAGAGTTAATGAGCATGATGTATCGCGCGGGGATCCACTGGCCCGTAGACCATGCCAATATTTTCACCTCACCTTGTAAGTACTCAATCTGTCCCTCAAGTAGATCCAGTCAATCAAGAAGATATCGGTGTTGAACTCGGACGAGTTAGAAGTCCACTGGAATGTCAGCCCGGGCCGGGTCCTATCAATGAGTCACAGCTAAGGCAGGGCTTCGTACTGTTCGAGTAGTAGCCTCGGTACGGGTAGCTCGGGATATGATGAAGGGTATCTGCTTGTCCCATCCGACGTCAAGGAGGCTGTAGCCTTTGGATGTCAGGATGTGACGGGCCATGCGCTGTTTTTCATTTACGAGCCTCGCGTTGGCAGCCCATGGGGACTACTAGCGTAGTGGGTGGCGGCAAAATCTGTCAAAAGGTCGAAACGGACGCCTGGGCGTGGTCTCCGATGCGTATGAATATTGCCTTATTCGGAACAGAGCACAGCCGAAATGCATGACCTCTGTGTAAGGCGCGGGGGACTGCCATCGCCAAGACAAAGCCTCGACATCCTTGCGGGACCCTGATCGACAACCGCCCGCGTCTGACGCCGGGCAACCAATTGCATCCCATCCATCAACGAGTATAAAGCCATCATGAACGCCGTCGGGGATACCAGGGCTCGGTTGTTTTCCCAACTTCTCCTCCCTTCTTCCCTTCGCCACCGCCAGCTACTTTCTCTTTCATGATGTACGGCCTCGCTGTTCTCTCCGTTGCGGTTTTCGCTGGTCACAGTAAGTGTCACGCCTTGATATTGATGAGCTGGTTCCTAAGAAGTGAATCAGCGGCCGCTACCGCTCTCGCTGGTGCCTTCCCTCTCGCTGCTATCATCAGGAGGCAGACGGGCTTCGATCCCTCGCAGATCCCTGCTCAGTGTCAGAGCGACTGTTCTACCGCCGTGACCGCCATCAATGTGAGTTTGCCAATCGCCATCTCATATAGTCTGAAGCGAGACTCACTAAAGTTCCTTAGACCTGCACGGACGTGAGCTGCTTGTGCAGCACCAGCACAAATCAGGGTCTCTACACCTGTCTCGAGTGCGCGCTCAGCCTTAGTCCCGACGCATCCACCTTGTCCCAGTCCCAGGAGAGCCTGGACAGTAAGCGATTCTCTCCGCATCTCGGGCTCAGTGATCTCACCCCCTCGCTACTGATAGACTACGAGGAGACGTGTGACCAGGCCGGCGTGAACGTTACTCCCCTCTCGCTCACCCTCCCCTCCGGCGGCGCGTCAGCCACTGCTACTGCTACTGCTGCGCCCATATCTAGCACCGCTGTGACCGGTGGTAGTACTCCCAGCACTGTCAAGGTCTCCGTGACGTTCAACGGCGGCAGCACCGCGGCGACAGCGACCGCGACCAGCCCCGCCAACACCGCCGACACGGCGTCCAGTGCCAGCAGCACCGGTGGTGCCTCGAAGAACGGCAACCCCCTTGGTGGCAACGGTGCCGGCGCGATTGGTGTCTCTACTGCTTCTCTCGCTGTCGTAGTCGGTATCGCGATGGCCGCCCTACTCTAGAGCGACGGCTTCGGTTTGGATGGCGGCCGTGTTGTGTTACGAAACTTTACTGGGAATTGACTTGGACTTTATTCGACGCCTCGCGGCTTCTAACACAAAACTACTATTGTTCGCTCGCCCTCTGCTCTAGCTTACCTGGAGTATAATCAGAGAATGATTGATATTTGTCCTCAGGGCCATCGTTCCGTGCGAGTTGGTGGTCATGAGTTCGCTCTTCAGGTGAGTCATATTGGTCTGTCTCACCTCGCCCCTACGGCCCCGTAACCATGCAGCCTCCGATGAGACGCTACAGCTCTGCACAAGACGTGGACTCCGTGTTTACGATGATATCCGTGTACGCCGGAATTACCTTCGCCTTGTCGAGGCTTGGCAGGGCAACGCACGTGCAGACCTCCGCTTCGGTCCCGAATAAGATACTTAAGTACGAATCCGGAAGCTCCAGCTCTGATTCAGGCACCAGCTGCAGCGTGTCCTCCGGGAAACACAGCCCATTGTGGCAACAATCATGCCAGATACAACTTGCCATCAGCAGAGGTGCTATCGTACTATGCAGATTCCCGGTTCATTGGAAGTTGGGCAAATGTATAACGGCTCATGTACGTTCGGCAGTGGTCTCTGCAACGACGTTCAACGGTTCCGATCACGCTCTGCGGGCACTTGCGGCGACTTTTAAGCATCTAGCAGCTTCGCCCCCGAGTCCAGTAGTTGACTTTTAGGAGAGGTTTAAAAGGGCAAAATGTCAAGCGGGCAAACCGCATCGAATAGAGCCTACTGTGTCTCGTTGAAATGCAGTGCAGTACTCGCAGAGCAGTGAGTGCTTGGGCCAGAGACGGCACGATCGCGAACTCATCAATCTTCAAGCGGCCTGCCAACCACAACGCCACCGACACTTTAAATTAAAGTTTCATCAAGCAATTGCTTACAAGCCAGAGGGGTTGACGCCTTCGCCTCATAGATAGGGGACGAGTCTCTCGAGCGTCTTGTCAGGTATGTGACAGAGGTGCCCGCCGTTCCGCGCAGATGTTTTGACGTGCCCGCCCGGCAATATGAGGCCGGCTGTCACTTCGATGGGCGCCAATACTCCTTACAGTGGGGTTCGCATATATGGGCAGTCGCAATGCTCTGCACAAGTCCTGAGAACATCTCAGACCATCATAGAGCGTCGGTTGATCTTCAGACATGTCCTCAATGAAATATGGATCGTCAATAGTCTGTGCGCCGTGTGTCCAGAAGTACATCCAATAAATACCGCCTATAGCTTAGACTTGACCGACACCTTCGCCGCGTTCTCCTGCAGGATCTTTGCGGCGTCGTTCACGATGTTCTCTACGATCACCTTCGCCGGGAGGACATCGTGGATGAGCGACGCGACGCGGCCTATGAGCCATGCACGGGCCTGCAGCGACTTCTCAGGGTGCTGCTTCAGGTCGTGCTCGACAGGGATGATACCCTTCGACGTGAGCTCCTTAATCTCCTCTTGCCGGTTGTTATGCCTGTACCCACGAATGACGGTCAGCCTCCTGAGCAGATAATCCAAGCCGACACCGGCAACAAACACGCACCAGTCATCAACGTACGGGGTCCTCCGCACCCGGAGCGGCCGCCCGGTGTAGATGAGCGTCGTGATAGCGTCCTCGTATCCCGCGCCAACAAGCGCCTCCTTGTGGGCCTTCGGCGCGCCCGCCTCCTCACTGGCGACGAAGCGCGTGCCGACCCAGACCGCCTGCGCGCCCCAGGAGAGGTTCGCGGCGAGCGAGCGGCCGTCGTACACGGCGCCCGCCCCGATGACGTATATGGGCTTGCCCGTGAGCGGCGACTTGCGGCCTTTGACGATGTCGACACAGGCGGGGATGAGGATGGTCGCGGGGATGTCGCCCGTGTGGCCTCCGCCCTCGCCGGCCTGCGCGCAGATGAGGTCGCAGCCGGCGTCGAGCGCCTTCTCGACGTGCTTCGGGTGGCCGACCATCTGTGAGGTTACGGGATAGGATTCAGCGAGGTATGTATGCTTGGGCGCAGCGCGGCAGACTTACGTTCATCACGGGGATGCCCGCCTTGTGGAGCTTCTCGACAGCCCATTTGGGAGGAACGCCGACGGCGCAGACGAAGAGAGAAGTCTTCTCCTCGATGATGACGTCAAGGAGGTCGGGAAGCTGGCCCTTTGTGTAGTCGTACTGTGGGCGCACGCATGCGTCGATCGCGATCGTCAGTTCATGACACCTACAATAGGGGTCAAGTCGAACAGCACTCACGTTCGTCTTACGCGCGTTGCCGCCGACCTGGGGAAGAAGTAGATCGACACCGAAGGGAAGGCTCTTGTCGACAAGGTCATCCTTGATGGCCTTGATCTATAGGGAGGGGGAAGAGCGGGAGGACGGGTCGTGTCAGCTCAATGGTTCGATGGCAGGTAGGCCCTACGTACCTGCTGCCTGAGAATTTTGGGAGTGTATCCGAGACCGCCAATGACGCCAAGACCGCCCGCGTTTGACACGGCAGCTGCCAACTCCGGACCTGCCGCAACGTTCATACCTGCAATGAGAAAGACAGTCAGCTAACGTCGACCATCTGCGGCGTACTAAGTACACGCGTTCGGTTCCGTACCTGCAAGCAGGATGGGGTGCTTGATACCGAACATCTCGGTGATGGGAGTCGTGATCGTGGCCATGATGATGAATCCAAAACGCGGCGGAGGTGGTGAGGAATGGTTAACGAAGGGCGAAGAGGGGTTCGAGTAGAGTTTATGAAGACCTGGGGCATATGGGGGCGGGGAACCGGTAACAGGGAGCAGCAAGTTGCCGGCATGTGAAAGCAGATCGGGTCCCGATCCAGGCGCTAGCCCCGTGCATCGTCTCCGCTTCTGCTGACAAGGTTTTGACCCGCACCTGACCGCGACGAAAGCCGGCTTCGCGATTATTGACGGCGCGGCATCAGAGCGAAATGTTCGTATGTAGGTCTCGCAGACTATGCAAATGCAGAATTTGGCTTGAGTTGTCGCGTCAGTCACCGTCAACAAGACCCAGGGTGGATCCTTCAGAGCAAGATCCCCTCTCGATCGCCTGCAACTCGCATTGATGGTTTCTGCGTGATGATGGGGACTTAAGTATAGCACCGGGCATTGGCTTGTGCCGAACCCGTCAAGCCGGGGTTCTGAGGCGGGGGCGGCCGTTCATCATCTAATCATATCTGATAAGATTACAAGGCCGTCGAGATAGTTAATATGGCGTCCTCGCTGAGGATCAGAAAGGTGACGGTTTGGAGGCTCGAGCGTGGGCCAACGGGTCGGAGAAACAAGACCGTCCAGTCCATGCAATATAATTAGTCCTGATCCAGGATGCGTGCTGCCACAGCAATGGTAGATGATGGCGATGCGTCCCCGCCAGAAGTGTGGAGGTGAAGGAAAGTACAGCAGAGCGATGGGACTGACGCAGACGACGTACAAAATATGCAACAAGGGGGGGGACACAGAGAGAGATGGAGATAGAGTAGAGAGAACGTGAGAAGGCGTGAGCGTGTAGTTGAGAATGAACTTGGGAAGGGGACGGTCAAAGAGCGTGTACAAGATCCCGACTCGGATTCGAAGAAGTCAATGTCAAAGTGTAACCGAAACTCATGATTTCCGCGCCTCGGCCGCCGCCACCGCGCCTGCTTGTCGCATGAGTCGCCGTAGCCGACCGAGCTCCGCGGCCAACGTTCTGGGAGAGCGTCAGCCAACAAAACAGAGACGAGACCACGCCGAGGCCAACGCACTTTGCTGTCTGGTTCGCCTCGTCACTCTCCTGCGCGTGCCGGTCGACCTCGCTCCGCAGCTCGCCCATCTCCTCCTTGAGCACCGTCTCCATCTGCTCCGTTAGCCGCTTGTTCTCGTACAGCAGCCACTTGATCTCGCCCAGGCCGCCCGACTCGCGCTCCTTCTGCACCTGCTCGAGCAGCCGCTTGTACTTCTTGCCCATCTCCTCCGCGTCCGCCTTCAGCTTGTCCTCCCGCCGCTTCACCTCCTCGCGAAGCGTCAGCGCGTCCGTCTGGAACGACTCGACGAGGCCCTTGATCGAGTCCCGGAGCACGGCGTACTCGCGCTCCGCCTTCTGCGTGCGCGCGGTGCACTCGGTCAGCGAGGACTCCATGTCGCGGATCGTCTTCTTCGACGTCGTCGTCTCGTTCTTGAGCTGCGACTTGAGCGAGATCACTTCTGCCTCCGCTTTCCGTGCGCGTTCGAGCACCTGCGGCGAGGGTTCGTCCGTGAGCACTGCATACATACATATCGGGGACGACAGGGGAGCGCACCTCCTGCAGCAGCCGCTCTTTCCGCGCGACGACGTTGTTCAGCCCCTCGTTCTCCAGCCGCAGCCGCTCCCGCACCTCCTTCAGGTCCTCCGTCTGCCGCGTCAGCTGGCTGACCTGCCGCTGGCTCACGCGTAGCTGCGCCTTCGTGTTCTCCAGCGCGTTCTTCGCGTTCAACACGCCTGCCTGGAGGTCGGCGAGGACCTTCGTCGTGTTCCCGGGCGCAAACGAGGCCCGCCGCGGTGACACGCCGCCTGCTGACGTTGTCGAGACACTCAGTGAGGATCGCAAAGTGCTGTCGCCGTCTTCTTCTGCTAGTGCGCGTGCGTTTCCTGCAATAGACATTCGGCGTTAGCGTACCTGATCGACGAGGCCGGGAAGCGTGTCAACGCGGAATTCTAGGAAATCGGCACCTGTGCTGTGTGCACTGGGAATCCCCACTTTATGCACAGAACGAGTGCCGGGCATTGACACGATTATTCATACAGCAAACCTGCCAGACGCATCTTCCCCGTGAGAAGAGACAAAAGCCGCGGAATGTATGCACACTCCCAGCCAAGTCTGACTCAGCGCGAATCGCGCCCGATACCTGCCCCCCGTGTTCCAAACATTCAACCGATCACTGCTCCCAGTTGCCTCCACCTACGTTCATCGCACACCCACCCGCTCGCATGCGCGTGATCAAATCTGCCCGACACACTCGAAACAGCCAACGCCAACCCCAGAGGGTCAACGCTGCCGTCCACGGGCCACGGACATCTGGGATGATCCTGGAGGCACTGACCTACTGACGAGACGGGGATGCCTGCCCCGGCCTCAGTACGCGGACGACTGGGGGGAGGGGTCACAAGGAACACTCACGGCTCAGCGTTCTCGTCGGGCTATCGCTCCTCTGCCCGCTCCCACTCCCCGTCGGGATGCCCTCCCGGATCCCGTTCTCGTCCCCGAACGACATGTTGTTGCGCCGCGGGAGCGGTAGGCTCGAGTCGGGGCCTGCGAGTCCTTGGAGCGCCTCGAACGAGCTGCGCCTGGCGATCTTGATCGCGCGCGGGGAGTATGCGGAGTCGGAGGAGGACGGGCGTTGGGGGACGGAGAGATCGAGCTCGGCGGGGGAGTGCGGGGGCGAGTTGAAGATGCCGGGCGGGTAGGGGCGCGGGCCGCGGAGGACGGTGTTCTCGAGCGCGGCGAGCTGGGCTTGCTGGTGCCGGATGTTGTGCTTGAGCGCGGAGATGTTCTGGCGGATGGCAACTGCGGATGGGCGGGATGTGAGCGAGTGAGCAGTAGAGGGGAGGGGAGTAGGGTGAAGGAGGAGTTGACGGAACGGAGGACGGGGCGAGGAGTATTTCGGGCGCCAGTTCAGATGGACGACCGGGCATTCGTATGACAGACATGGCAGCGGCGATGATCATGATCGAAAGACGGGAGATGTGAACGGTGTACGAAGAAGGTGGTCGGAATGGGGAACGTAACATGGATAGCCGGTGTAAGAGCACGAGCCTTACGAAGCGGGGTGAACAAAGTATGAATACGCACCGGTTTCGTCGCCTAATGATACGGACGGACTGGAAGAACGTCCTATAGATCCTCGCGAAGACGGTCGAGACACAGAACGAGGAGGGGAGAGGGGCGAGGTGAGATGGGAGCCGCTGGACATTTACTCAGACTCTTTCGAGACTCGTGTTTGCGATAGAACACGGTGTGTGCCGGACGACGAATGGGCCAATCGCAGAGCAGATTCTGGGGTGCCCGTGGCGGGTGACGAGAGCCAGTGTTCGGTGGGACTGCGCTCAGAGAGAGTCGGAGTCGTCGGGAACGATGGATGCGTGACGGAGACTGTGATGCCGTCGCTGCTTCGCTCGATGTGCTCACGCTCGAAGACGGTGACGCAGAGGGTGTCGAACGCGGCCACCCCAGTGCAGTTTCGATTCGTGTTCGCCTACAGGCTACCGGGAGCACGCTGGGCATAGCGGGCGGTACGCGTGTTCCCACGATCGTAGTCCAGGACACTGCAAGAGACTCGGCGGCGTGTCCCCAGGGAGAAGCTCAACTGGTCGTCAGTGTACTTATACATGGTTGCTCCCCAGCTTGCGGGATCTTGATCGGAGACGAGTAGTTCTCGACAGTCTGACAGGAACAACGGTCGCAAGCATCTCCTGTTTCTCCCGTCCTCTCCGCGGGGCACCTCGGGGAACGCCTGAAGATTTGTCTCGAACCAGAGTGTCCAGGGGCAGCGGTCAAGCGGCAATTGGTACGTACATAGTCACTTTCAAGTTAGTCGACAGGCTTGTTGCTACTTATGACTGTGACTCGAACTCCCCAACGGCCGGCTGACGCAGCGGATTCTGAGTCTCACCGCGATGCTCAGGAACTCTCCCGAAGAGCGGCGCCCAATGGTACATCCCGATTTACGTCGCTTGCGCTACACCTTAGGGGTCCATATCTGGGTCAGTCATTGCTTTAATGCAGTCACCGCACTGTCATCGAAAGCCTGCTTGGGTCTCCAGATAATTCCCTATCGTGACGAGCACCAAACAACAAGCCTCACTCAATCCAGACACTCATTATCTCGTGCACGAAAGTCTCTTCTTGACACCTTTTTGCCTTTCGGACCGCGAAGAAGCAGGCTGAGGGCATGTGGGATCAATATCAAGAAACTTCATACTACCTACAGAGATATGCGGAGTGGGGGAGGGGCTGAAGGAGCAAGACGCAGAGCCGGAGGGAGCTTCCCTAGGGCTTCAATCTTTGTCTCGACCCGCTCAGTACCGCACCCTTCGGCCTACCCTTCTCGTCCAAATTGATCGGAAATCCTACGTCACCCAGGGACTCTGCTCCTGACCTCGAGGCGGGTTTTCGCTGTTTTGCCGGAGGTTGTGGCAGATTCCAGTCTGAGCTGAAGATAGGAGGCTTCACCGCGAGAGGTTCACGCCGCGCCGGCCGACGGGGAGACGGTCGGGGACTGTAGATGACAGTCTCGGAGGCGAAAGTAGGTAGGCACTCATCGGCTTCGGGTCTTCGCCGTTTGCGGGAGGTAGTGGGTTCGAACGCAGGGTGGCGGGAGCTGTCGACGTCCGAAGTGAGGAATTCAAGTCCCTGTTGATTCATCAGCCCGGCGGCGTGGCGGAGAAGGGGAATGTCGATACGTACAACATCGTCCGATTCCGATGACAGCTGGACATCCAAGCTGTCCTGAGTATCTTGCTCTGCCTGCGCTTGGCTCTCAGCAACGAATTGGAGGAAGCGGCTGGTTTCCCTGTTCTCCTCGCGGAGCCTCTTGATCTCCTCCTTCTGTTTCCGCTCCTGCAAAATCACGGCTACGTCGACGGAGAACCAACAGAGCGTAGTCGCAGTGCGTACCTGCGCCTTCAGTGCGTGCAGTCGCGTACGCAAGCCGCCCACTTCCTCTCGCTGCTTCTGCAACTCGACCTTATACTCCTCCGTCACCCTCTTCAACGCGCCCAACTCCTGCTGGGTCTGCGCAAGGTCTTCTTTTGTCTTGGTTAGGACCGGCATTGTTCGCTCGGACGTCTCGATCGCCTGGCGCGCCACGTTCTCCGCGTGGGTCTTTCCTCGCTGCGTCTGCTTGAGCTCGTCCTTGAGCTTGACAATATCCGAGCGTTGCTTGGAGAGCGAATTGAAGACGGGCAGCATCCCTTGCCATCGTGCGGCTATCGCCGTGAGGAGTTCCTAGGGATAGCGGGAGCTGAGCGTGAAGGGGAGATGGCGGAGTGAACAGACGCGGCCGGGGCTCACTAGCATGCAATCGCGCCGGTCCATCAGCCCATAGACGTCCTCCAGTCCCTTCGCGGCCCGTGCCACTGTCTGGAACCTCTGGTCCTCCTCCACTTGATTGATGTCTCGCAGAGACTTGGCGAGTTGGTAATGGAACCCGTCGGAATGGCACGCAGGCTCGCTGCTGCCGGACGCTAGAGGTTGCTGAGAGGGAGAGTCTGCGAGCTCGAGGAAGATGGGATGCACCTGCCCTATTCGAAAGCTGGTGCGGCATTGTGGGCAGGGATGCTGACCGCGGCCCGAGGCGTAGCGGCTCAGGCAGTCGGCGCAATAGGCATGTCCTGCAGAGTCAAGTGTCAGAGATACCATTTATCTGGTATGTTGCGCTGAGACGCACCGCATGGTATAGAGCGCATGTGCTCCAGCGCATGGTGGTCTTGACATATGCTGCATAGGAACTGAGTACTAGACATCCCTACCAGAAGACACTAAAGGACGTCGAGAAAAAACTCAACGCTCCGCTGCTGCGCGAGTCGGTGAGCAAATTGAGTCGCAGGGAGGATAGCGGGGACTGAGGGAAACGCGGGTGGTGGTACGCTGTCAACAGCTTCATCTGCCTCAGCCTCAGCAGGCGCGACGCGTCTGTCGCATCACCCCACGTGATCGCATGCCGTACACTTCGGCGCTTGAAGGAAACGCGACGATCACGTGTAGTTGAACCCGCGACTGTAAACGCCCACTGTTCCTGATAGCCACGACTCCCGACGGACTCACCTCCCTGATTTGCTCTCTGGAGTCAACCTGTTACATTCATATTGTCTGATTCTGGCTTCAGTGTATACAATCCCTATCAGGATACATACTCGAGATTTACCGAGAACCCGGCGCATCGCTCAATCTCTCTCGCCTCTCCGGAGCCACAACACGCTGGATAGCTCGGAAGGGACGGTGCAAGACATTGGAGTATCACACGGTGAGTATCGAGACTTCATGGAATGCATGGCGGTGGCGGGATATGCCCATTTGCCCTGATACGCCGACACGTCGAAGTTGCATTATGTGATACTCTGCATATTGGGTGTTGGCCTCTATGCAGATAATGAGCACCTCTGCATCCATGTGCGATTCCACTATGACAAATGCTCCGTAAGACGAGCCGCTGGAGGACTCGTTCAGACCTTTTTGGTGGAGTGGCTGCGCGTAGAGGGCGCTTCGCTGCGCGTACTCAGCGGCCCACGTTTGCTCATGCTCTCCTAATTCTAGGAACATAGTACACTATAGGCCTGAGCAGGTCAACGCGATATGGCAGCCTATTTGGAAACACCCTCGCGAGTATGGCGCCGAATACAAGCGGAAGGAGACCGAGACATGCCCTCCCTGCCCTCTCTACCCGCCTTCGAAGACTCGGCCGCTCCACCGTCAATGGAGGAGAGCGACCACGAGAGCAGCCAAGATGACATGCAGATGGCGTCCCCTATCCACTCCACCCCAAACGTCCTCTCCCATATCGCGTCCACTGTTCGTGCGCCCTCCAGCACCTCCAGTACGGCACGCTTCGCGCAATCTCTCGCTTCTCGCTCCTCCAAATCATCCCTGTCCGTCTCGCGTGGCCTAGTAGCGTCGGGGAGAGATTCAGCCGGACATGCCGAGGATAGTTTCGACGTCAGCTCCATTTCTAGCCTGCCGATTCGGAAGGACGACAGCGGGGAGCTAGATATTCGAAGCAGCGACCAGGACACGCATAGTTCTGTGCCGGAAGACTATCTCCCTCCGCCAATTGAAGATATAATTGATGCAGACTTGGACCTATCCGACGCACTGCAGTCCGTCAGTCGATCGAACTCTCCTGGGTTGGAGGAGCGTGACATTGGAGAAACGCCTCGCAAGAAATCCGACTATGACTATTCCCTGAGCTTGCGCTCCGAGCCTAAGGTGCGCACGTGGTTCTTGCTATGCCCAAACAAGCTATGATGGCTCATCGTCTTACAGGAATCCCCCTTCGACAAGTTGCGAAACATTTCCTTTCGTCGGCCACTCTCGCGCACGCGCACGCCGTCCTTGACACGGACCGTATCCTCCCCCTCCTCATCCATGTCTAACTCAACACCGCAGAGCACGCGCTCATATCGTTACCAACGGCAAGAGTCAGATCCTCCCCTCGCGGCCCTGACTGTTCCTTTGCCCAGGTCCGCCACAGCTTCACCTGCAATACCGCCCCGGCCGGAGGAACGCGACCTAACCCAGATGAACCTGAGCTCAGAGTTTCCCAGCTCCATGCACAGTCCCGAGAACGAGAACGACACGGAGTTGCTGCCCGAAGTCGCGGCCGAGAGGGAGCTCGAGCAGAGCCGGGCGAGCGACCACCAGTCGCAGCAGTCCCGCTCGCGTGAACCCACGTTCTCATCTGATGAGGCGACGTCCTCAGTGGGTCATCTAAGTCCTGAGGGTGTCTCCGTGACACGCGGGGTACGGTCCCCAACGCCTCTGTCTGTTGCCTTCTCATCGCCTCAGTCGGCGTTGTTCACGCCCACCCCGGCTTTCCAGCCTCGTCCGAGGGCTCGGTTTGGCGTCCCGGCATCGTCGACGACCCCTGCGTTCCCAACCACCACTCCTTCACAGCATACGGTCCGCTTCGACATCGACGAGACCCCCCACCCGCCAGCAGTCCGCTTCGAAGCCGACGAGACTCCCCGGCCAGCCCGGTTTGAAGAGCAGGAAACGATTGACGAGGAGCACGAGTATGAGCACGCAGACGCCGACGAGCACGCATACGACGGGGACCCGACTACCCCCGCTACAGCACACAAGCGATCTTTCCTCCTCTCCGTCATCAACTCGACCGCCCGTCCCCGCCTGCGCCACCCTACGCCTTACAAGCGGTACGACCCCAGCGACGAGTCCCAGGCCGAGTCCCAAGCCCAGGTGACCATGACTCCTGGGGTGACCATGACCCCTGGAGTGAACGCCAACCTCCGTGACGCCTTCGCAGGCATTACGCCTCGTCCCGGTATCGCTGCCCGTCGCCGCCTCTCCGAACCTGGCGCCAGCGGCTCTCTGCTCACTGCTCACCCGGACTCGGGCTCTGGCTCGGAGTCACCCGCGCCTGAACACCCGTCGTTCGTCTCGACGGCGTCCTCGCATGACCTCGCCGTACACGCGCGGGCGAACGCGTCCTTCGACCCCGTAATGGGTCTAGGCGAGCGCGGGACCGGCGTCGGCCGGTTCAATGCGGGGAAGCTGAACAATTACTTGCACGGGCTGAATCGGAGGCTGCAGGAGGAGAACGAGATGCTCGTCGCAAAGCTGAGGGCGTTTGAGGAGAAGGTCGGAAGTGGGGGACTGAACGAGGGGACGAGTCCGATTTCTGGCTCTTCAGGACCGCCTTCGGGGATCGGGGCGACTCCGATACAAGCTCTGGGGACGGGACAGGGGAGGAGGGCTAGTGGAGGCAGGCGGGTGAGTGCGGGTCCAGCGTTGGGACTGGGCGATCTGGCGGAGGACGCTGCGGAGGCGTGGTTGGAGGAGAAGGCGACGATGGAGGAGATGGTGGAGGAGATGAAGGAGGAACTCGACGCGGCCACAGCGGACAAGGCCAAGGCTGAAGAGGCGTTGCAGGCCGAACGCGCCGAACGCGCGCGCGACAAGGAGCGCTGGCACGAGCGCATGGCCGATGTGCAGAAGGGCGTCGAGGGGATTGTGTCCGACCTTGAGCGGCGGCTGAACGAGGCCGAGGAGGCGCTCAAGCGCACGGAGGCGGAGAAGGCGGAGGCGGTCAAGGACGCGGAGCGGCGGCTTGCAGTTGTGTTGGTCGAGAAGGACGTGCTTGCGGAGCGCATCAAGAAGGCGGAGGGGGCGTTGGAGAACGGACGGGATATGGGCGCTGAGCTCAACGCGGCGAATGAGCGGCTCGCGGAGACGCAAGGCGAGCTGCGGAATGCACGGATGGAGATCAAGGAGCTCGAGGAGGAAGTCATGCGTGGGCACAAGCAGCTCGACGAGGCGGAGGACAACCTGAATGCCGAGCGACGGCGGACGGCCGCATTGGAGGAGGAGCTTCACTCGAAGATGGAAGAGCTCACGGAAGCTGTCCATGCATGCGAGGCGCTCGAAGAAGAGGTTCGGAAGACTCGCGCGCAGCTCAGGCAGGCCGAGGATGCTATCGCTCAGAACGAGGCCGACGCTGCGACAGACAACGCCCGCATCGAAGAGCTGGAGCAACAACTCGCGGCGGCCCGACAGTCCATTGATCGCTCAGAGGCTGAGCTCGAGGAAGAGAAACAAGAGAGCGACCGCCTGATCGACGAGTCCGAGAGAGCTGCGGAACTCGGACGCCAGTTGGAGGACGCTCTGGAAGCGGCTGAAAAGAAAATGCTCGAGGATGAACAGGAGGTCGCGACGCTGAAGGCCACGATCTCTTCTCTCGAGCGTGCTGCCGAGAGACAACAGGAGCGCTCTGTCTTCCAGGCTGGTCCATCCCAGAGCGTCGTTGCGCGCGATATGCAGGCTGAGATCGAGGCCCTGGAGGCAGAGGTGGACGATGCGAACAAGGAGATTGCCCGCCTCAGAACCATGGTCGCTCAATCGCCCGCTCGTAGAGCGATCGACAGAGCAAAGGACGCCCGCATTGAGCTTCTGGAGAAGGAGAAGGAAGACTTGCTCGAGCGACTCAAGTCGGCCAGGAATCAAAGCGGCATCTTCGGCACTCCTGCCAGGATGGCGAACGGCAGTGGCATGTCTCCATTGCACCGGCAGCTCCTTAACATGTCGCTCAAGAGTCCTAAGACACCAGGAGGCCCTCTCAAAGATGTGAGCTCTCTCATATGATATCCTTGCGAAGCGTGGCTTGCTGACGGGCTCTCAGTTTACTTGGTTGCAAAACAGCATGCAAGATCCTTCCATGGCCCCGCTTGTGGTGGAGCTGGGAAGACTTCAGCAAGAGCTTGACCGCGCGAATGCCAGCATTGATGAGAAGCTGGATCGTCTCGAAGATGCTGGCATAGGTGTTGTGGATTTGACGAAACAACTTGAGGACGCCCGTAACGAGATCGCCAACCTTGAGGACGAGCTCGCGAGGCTATCTCGTCGGGAAGACCGCAGGATTCGCCGTCTACAACGTCTCAAATGTCAGAAATGCCGTACCAAGATTGACATGCGTGGCCTGGATAGCAATGGCGACGCTGATGAAAGGTGGGTATATCTTCAGCTCTGGTAGCGCTACTGTCTCTTACGCGCCCCGTGTAGCTCCATTCTCGAGGCTTCCAACATGTCCATCAGCTTTGCCGAGCCTCCGACAAGAAGCAGCGAAATTTTGCGCTCTGAACTCAGGGAAGTCAACGCCCAACTTGACGATATGAAGCGTACGTGGGAGGCCGAGAGGAAGAAACTTCGAGGCGAGAACGCCGTTCTCCAAGACGCAGCTACCCGGTTGAATGCAGAAGTCCGTGATGCCAAGGACGAGCTTCGCAAGTACGCTAGTACCGAGCGTGCGGGGGAGAGAGCCCGTGCTGGTATACAGAGCGTGAGTTTCACTCAAGGGTTCCACCGATATATGTTGAACGGCATGGCGCATATAGGAACTTGACAGAGCGAAGCGAACCATGGAGGAGCTTGAGGCCCAGCTGAAGGCTGAGCGGAGCCGGTTGCGTGCGCTTACTTCGGAGCAGACCAAGGCGCAGCGAGAAAAGGAGGCCGTTCTCCTCGATCTGCGGCGTACGGAATCCGTACGTTACGCAACCTGTGGATATTCAAAGGACTATAGGACTCACCTTGGATGTTACAGGATATGGCTGACGTCCGCCAGCAACTCCAGCAGTTCAAGCAGGAGAACTCCGAGCTTGAACGAGAGCTACGCAGCAATTCCAATGCTGAACAGAAAGCTCGTCTGCTCGAAGCGAAGGTGGCAGAGAACCTGGAGAACATCGAGCAGCTCCGTCAGGAACGCTCAATGCTTGCTGCAGATCACAAGGAGCTTCAGCGTCAATATGCTAAAGCTTCGGAGGTACGCGAATCTGCCTTCCTCTGTGTATCCTACTCTTGCTGATCTATCGCCAATTAGGAGGTGAACCGTCTTAAGGGTGAATTTGCTACATCCCAAACCTCTCATGATAACCGGCGCCACGAGCTTGCACTGCGGACGCTCGAAATCGAGGACCTCCGCCGCGCGCTATCAGATCAGGCATCCGAGCTCGAACGTGTTGAGGCCGAGAAGGCACGCATGGCAGCTGAGAAAGGGGACGTCGCTAGGACTGTCGCTACGCTCGAGGCCGACCTCCGTCGCGTGCGCCATGATGCGGAGGCATTCGGGCGCGATCTAAAGGCTCTCCGAGCACAGAAGGATAGGATGGAAGAGGAGCGAGCGAAGGCGGAGCGAGCGCAGAAGCAGGCACAGACGCAGATCCGCATCCTGAAGGAAGAGCTTGACGGGCAGAAGGACAAGATGCGCGAGGCGACAGAGCAGTGGAAGGGCCACATCTGCGCTGCGTGAGTGATTTGCTTGTTGGCGGTACGACTTGGACTGACCAGATGCATGTCGTAGGGACGACCGTCAGCTCGTGTCGCTGAAGCAACAACACAATCAGGAGTGCAAGGGGCTGATGGTCCAAATCAAGTATCTGAAGGCCAAGTATACGCGGGAGTCGACGTTCCGGTGCGATCTTGGGTACCAGAAGCAATACTTGCTCGTCTTGATGGCGCGTTTCGAGCGAAGGTCTGCCAAACTGTTCGTCTAATGCGCATGTAGTACTGACTGCAATGACAACCTTCAGCGAGGAGAAAATCCTAGCAGCCGTGGCGCGCATCGGCTTCCCCACGTTATCTTCCAATCCTGCACAGAAGAAGGGGAAGACTCGGACGTTGCGCAGCGTCGCATACACTGTTCTGTTCCTCCATCGCACGAGGTGGGTTATATGCTCCTTTCTATGTTCAAGTGAGGTTGATGGCGACATACAGGCGAGCGAGTGAACAATGGAGACAGCAACGAGCCGCCAAACCCGCCATTGAGGCCGCTCTGCAAGAAGTCAGAAAACGCAGACTGGTGAATGACTCAGCGCCCACAAAAGCGGAGCCCTCAAGTAAGGGGAGAGGCTCCGACAGCCGTCCATCGAGGGCGTAGTGATCCCCTTCGGACACGTTTCGGGTGTTTCTTGTATTGTTACGCATTCTTCCATGTCGTCATCTCCGTCACCGTATCTTGACCGCTGATAATTCGTGTAGCTGTATGTTCTGGAGCTTTGTGATTACATTACGACTATGTCTTATGTCACAGCCTGTGAATACGAATATGTGATAGTCCAGTGCGCGAAAGCTTCCGAAAGCGTCGTGAAGAGATAGACTGTTGTGACATCATGACGACGATGAGGGCGGTGGGGAAGGGCCACGCGTCTTTGTTGCGGAGATGATGCGGAAGCCGTCCTTCGCAAAGAGATAGGATGCGCCACTCCAGATGGTAGTGCCTGCGACAATACACCTGCAAGCAGTGTGAGTGAACGCACATTAGAAAAATAAGTAAACGCACTGCAACGCTCCGAGCGGCACGCTGATGTCAACCGGCAATATCGGACTGACAGTCGCGGTTCCCATGAGGAGCAACTGAAGTGCAGTGTTGACCTGCGACGAATTAACCCTAGTCTAGGCTGGATACGGACAGAATGACCTTACCTTGCTGATTTGTGTTGGTCGCACTTCGGCTGAGGGGATGGAGAAGTCCCAATATCGCTTGAAGGTTTTCTGGACAGACGTGAGGTAACATGATTTCAGAACACGAGGCAGGGACTACCCACTGGTGCAGGGAGGGTCGTGTAACGGATGTAAAAAGCAGACAGGCTCAGCAAGACATCGCGTCCAAGGATGATTGCAGCCAGTGGGACTAGTGGGGAGTGCGATGGGTGAAGCGTGTCAGATTGGGTGGGGGAGGGTAGGGGCATACCTGGAATTAAGTCTTTCATAGCCAAGGTGACCGTCAAGGTTGTCATAAGTAGCTTGTCCGCGGCAGGGTCGAGGATGGTCCCAACCACGGACTGCATGTTCCACCTTCGCGCCAAGTATCCATCGACCTTGAGAACGAACAAACAAGCTCAAGCACGGAATGACACGAGATTAGCAAAGAATGAAAGCAGACCAAGTCCGTCAAGCCAGCATATACAAGTAACCCAGTCGCGAGATAGAAGTTGTCATTTACGATGGCCAGCCCGAGGACGGGGCACGCGATCATGCGAGAGACGGTCAGCAAGTTAGGGATAGTGTAGATGTTTTCTCGTAACGTGGGTGATCGTTCTAAGGAGTTCCGGTCTGACTGTCGCGTTAAACGCGGTGGGTGGAGGTTCGAGGGCGCATTCTTCCGCAGAGACGAATGTAACATGCGAAGCGGGAGAACGGATGGTGGTCCGCGCAGCCGGGAGCTAAAAGATGAAACCCGGAAAGTTGAGAGTGACGCATGAGGGTTCCTACGCAAGGAAGACGATGAGGACAGACGACCAGGCAATCTCGAGAACATATCGACCCAGCGAAGGTGTAAGAGAAACTAGAAGCGGGTAGGGTATATGGTAAGACGTCAAGACATGGATCCTTCAGACCTTGCTACTCCTGCGCAATAATAAGATATATATATATATATAATTGAAGCATTATATAACGGCCGCCTGGCGTAATGGCAACGCGTCTGACTACGATTGGGCAATCAGGAGATTGCAGGTTCGACCCCTGCGGTGGTCATTTTCTTTTGGTGTTTTGCCTTCATATAGCTACCGATACTCCCCCTACCACTCATCAGTACGAGGTGTCAGTCGGCCACCTGGGGTATGTGCTACGAAGGAGGTCGCACGAAGACATGAACCTTAGAAATGGCCGAGCAACCGTTTTTGCTTGTGGTGACTAAGCAGTGCGAACTTCTGGACGCCTGGTGAGTGCAAACGCCGTGAGTCTAAGGGCCTGTTCGGCAAAGAGTTGGAGTTAGAGTTACCAGCATTTCATGCCCAAATATAGTAATAATATCTCGGTTTTCAATCTCGAGAAAACTCGAGTTACTCGGGCGAGTGCATGCGTTCGGATGCCTCCCAGTAACTCCGGGCGGTTGTTATCAGCTCAGGTCATAAATCATCTCGAGGCTCTACCCTTTTGGCAGCCTGCTTGATTCTCTCTCTATAGAGTATTGGGATGGCTACCATGACCGGCGTAGATTGTGATCAGACATCCGAGACCATCCTACTTGAGGGATTAGGGCAGGCTACTACCAAGGCCCGCCCAGTCAAAACAATGACAGTTACTGCTATAATAGCCTGTCTTCGGCGCTCTATTTGAGCCTGATGGATAGCTTGGTGAATTTAGACAGCTGCTCTTGTGTGGACCATGGTGAAGCAGGGATGAAGCAGAGCCCATCTGATAAGCCATAGCTATTGGTATACTAGATACATGTACGAGTTCAGGGCGCTTGTCTCCTCCGGACTTCACGGGTACTCCGCCCCTGTAACTCTAACTCGCGCAGAAATCCTCGGAAATGCTGCCACGTGACAAAATGCCGGTGACTCGTAACTCCTAGTCTCGT